GATGTTCCCCGCCTAAGTAAGTCCCAATGACCTCAAACCCAGATACCAATGTTTACTTAGGAGCGTCAGTGGTGTAATGGTCAGCATGGTTGCCTTCCAAGCAATCGACGGGGGTTCGATTCCCCCCTGACGCACAGTCTTAGGCATAGCCGACATTCCCTTTTACCAAGTTTTGAACTATAACAGCGAAATTGAACCGCCCCTCCATGCCCCCCCCCTCCCTCCCCACCCTCTCCACTCCTGCGCGGTACTCACGTACGAGTCTCTGAAAATTCTTTGCGGGTAGGTTGTTGACTCGGGAACCTGAACAGCTAGAAAGCTGGGATTTTAATGCGAAGTTCCTCATCCACGTAGGTCTTAATGAGCTCAAACCTAGCCCCCCAATATGCGTCGTTTCTGTGTACGGGTTCGTGAATTTTTTCACGGGTAAGTTACTAACTCGGGAACCAGGAAAACTAAAAAGCTTAAAAAGGGATGTTTCCTGACAGTCCTGGCAGCTAGTCTCAATTCTTTTAGTTAGAAGCATTTGCTGGAAAAAACCAGTGCCACTAGCGACAAAAAAATCTGCGGGTAACTACGCAAAAAACGCATCTTAGCACCGGCAGTTGGTGCGTTGGCAAATTTTTTAAAATAATATTATATTTTATACATATCATTAATAATTATTAGAGACCAGTCCACTTCGTCCAATTTTATGTCTCTTTCATGTCATATGATTGGCCTAACATTTCTTGCCGACGCAGCTTTCACGCTAGATCGAAAACGCAATGGCTCACTAAAGATACATTGTAATCTGTCAAAGTCTCCCGCACATTGGCGAGTCCCCTTCACCCTCCCTCCCCTTCCTTCTCGAGCGGCACAGGTTGCAGTGCTAAAAGGTGAAGAAAACTGTCTTCGACATCAGATGTCCCCCCTTCCCCACCTCTCTCCAAGGAACCGTCCTGGATCCGCCTATGCTTCCTCACTACCACAAAATGATATTCAAAATTCAAGGATCAGAAAAGAAATTAGGAGTCCTTTGTTCTTCACAAAAAGAGAAATAAACATAGCAAAAGTCAAGAGAACCTCAAAAGTGGTGCGCCCCACAAAACAGTCACCCAAAATGTAACTGGGATACTGAGAAGTGTATATCCAGCAGCACTCTTGAATTTCATAAGATTCGTCGATGGACGCAACTAATCATCCAATTTATCCTAGAAATAAGTAATGCCATTTTACCGATGGGTTAGAAACGATGGTAGGAGCCACAGCCGACAAATTAGAAACGATGAGATTAGAAACAACAACCAAGTTGATCCCAAGGAATTAGCAATCCTCATCACCATCATATCCCACAGTGACACACAGGACCTGAGCGTACCTCATGAACGAAGCTCAACTGACCAGTTTGACCCATCGGCGTGCAAATAGCTGCCCTACTTTGTGTTTTGCTTCATCAGCACATCTCAGCTCTCTGGGAGACAAAACTCCCTCACAGAAAACTGCACATGAATCCAAAAGTGAGTGAAACGATGGGAGAACTGTGCTGAAAAATGTTTGGGATACCTCCGGAACTGTAAAACCCCGTGTACAGCATCTGTAAAATATAGTTGTTAAGGTAGTCCCTCATAGTTTGAGGCTATATGCAAGCAAATTAAGACTGTGCATATCCAGAAATTTCCAGCAAACTACCTTTATGGTACGAATAGTTGTGAACAATGATGGCGAAAGTTGACCAAAACTAAAAATGCCCACGCGCAAAACAAACTGGGCGCACTGAACTCCGAATGCTGTGTCTGAATGCCTCA